TTCCTTCCTTCCTTCCTTCCTTCCTTCCTTCCTTCCTTCCTTCCTTCTTTTCTTTTCTTTTTTGAGGAAGGCTTAGAATTTTTCCTCCCAGGGGATATCTCAAGTGTTAATACGTAAGAAGTAAGTGTTAATACGTAAGTGTTAATACGAAGAGCACTGAGTAGCAGGTCTACTTTCAATTCTGCTACCGGTGTTCACTCATGGAAACTTGTTTAGTGTTAAGATCTGACAGTCACCTGTCTGGATGGGAAAGCATCGCAAAGGGATAGTTTACAGTCGTGTGGTGTGGGCAGTTTAGGGACAAGGTTCAGGAAGATATGAATAGTTCTTTATCATTGAAACATACTGCATTTATTCAAGTGAATTTCCTGACTTCCTCTTTTCCAACTCCACCCTTGGCTCCTGCTTATAGGACTGTTTCTATGTCTATTCTCTCCCTCTTCAGGTTTAGGGCTCAGTCTTGCTTTGTCCTTTAAGAGCATTCAGGCTGCTGTTACTTCTGTCTTTCTTCTGGAGGGACTGGGCCTCCCCCTTTTGACTTTGGATCCTGAACAGTAGTTTCCTGTCCAAAAGATTTTCTCCTTCACTCTGTTCTGCCTTTTCATGCTCACAAGTGACTTAAATAGAAGGAAAATACATTTAATCTAGGTGATTTGTCTATTTTTTATATCCAGGATTTTACATAGGCTGAAAATATGAAGGATTCCAACTATTTTGAGTTTTTAGTTTTATTTTAAATCTGAATTTACAGGAAAGTTGCAAGAGTAACAAGGAGAGTTGTCTAGACTTTGGCCCGTCTTTACCAACTGTTGATTTGAATGCACAAAACTAACGAACAACTGTGTCACTCAGTGTGAGGGAACTCTTGACTTTAAAAGATAATTTACTAAAGCGTTCTCATCAACGCAAGTGGAAAGCAAATGAGAGCAATTTCAAAGAGCATGTCTGTATCTGTGCCCATGTGTGTAGAAATAACTTTTCCAGAGTCAGTTGTCTGTCTGCTGAGACCCACTCCTCTGTGGTACCGTGAACGGCTCCTGCTTTACAGTGGTTCTGCCTGGGTCTTCCACATTTCTTTAGCTGTTGTGTACGGAGAGGCATTATGGCTCCCTTTGGTGGCTTTTCATTTTATTATTACTTCTGTTTCTAAGATGTAGATTTTTTTGTTTGTTTTTGATACAGGGTCTCCCTATGCAGCTTGGGAAAGTCTGGAACTAGCTGTGTAGGCTAGACCAGCCTCCATTTCTGCCTCTCAAGTGCTGAGATTAAAGGTGTGTGCCGCTGTGGCCAGCAAAGACAGGCGTCTTTATGGTCCTTATGCGGTCATTTGCAACCACCCCAGCTTTGGGATTAGATAAAGATCTCCAGTTTGTTGCAGCACTTACATTTACTTCTCTTGGCAAGCATAACTCCTATCATGTGTCAGAAATGGATGACCTGTATTTCACCTATCAATAAGGTCTGGCAGCTTACTCTCAAGTTCATTTGCCCTGAGAGCGGTACATCTGCTAGAACTTGCTGCAGGGACACACTTGTTCTCCACCTGCAACATTCAGCTCAGGAGCCATTAGCCACCTGTGGCCAAGGAGCTGGTTTTCCAATTTAACTTAATTTTGAATAATTGAAGCTTGATGTTATATGCCTACAGGTGATTAGTGGCTAGTCAGATTCAGAGACTCAAAGCTTGGCTTTTCATGACCGCCTCTGACCATGGAAGGGTTGCTCTCTCTAACAATTAGAAGGGATTACAGCCATATGAGAAACTATGATTACAGATTGAGGAAAATCAGAATCATTTTTAATTAGGGTTTTTTTTCTTCTGGTTTCCACTTTTCCTAGAGTTAGATCTAGAGATGGGCTTTGCACAGACAGCAAGGCACACGCCCTTCTGCACAGCTGGGGTGCTGTGGAGAGTCCCTGTTTTAGCATGTTAAGGCCCCACCTGGATGGACTCTTGTTTGAAGAAGACAGCACAGGGGAGGAGACTGGCCTGATGGGAGATGACATCCCGGTAGCCAAGTTGGGGGAGCCAGCCGTGGTCAAAGAGTGTGCCCTTCTGGAATGGAGGGGGTTGGGAGGGTTAGTGTTGCCATTGGCCTCTGTGGGGATCAAAGAAAAAAAAGACGCGATGACTTAGCTCCTACTTTCCCTTAAAAACATCATCAAAACAATGCACACAACTGACTTTTATGTAAGAAGCACACACATGCTTTGATGAATGGGCCAATCCGACAGGTTGTCAGGTGCTTACAAGCTAGCGTCATCTGGGAGCTTAAGAAGTACCCAGATGCCCAAGGCTTCAGCAAGGAATATGTAAGTGACTGGTCATGGGTGTGGTCACAAGATCCAGGCATATTTTAAAAAGTGCTAACGTTCACTCAGTTTTACCCTGTACAGCTAATATTATCTACCAATAGTGGCAAGCCAGTGAGGATTTTCTTTCAAGTAGAGTGTGCTTGTAGAAATACCTTTTAGGTTTCTCATCTCATCAAGACAAATAATTTTCTTGGGAATTCCCACCAGGAGCTGGAGAGATGGCTCAGAAGCCAAGAGCACAGGGGACTCTACTTCCATTTGTAGTACCCACATCAGACAGCTCACAACTGCCTGTAACTCCAGCTCCAGGGGATCTGAGGCCCTCTTCTGGCCTCTGAAGCCACCCACACTTGTTCGTGTATGCATACATACACACATACACACGTTTTTAAAGAAATGTTAAAAAAAAAGAGTTTTTATATAATATCAAATTAAAACCACAGCATAAAGTCAAATCCATGTTTTCCTCCCATAAAAGTAAAGCAAAATAGTTCCGATGTGAGCATGCTGCATTACCTGACTCTTCCTGATCGTTACCGTCCTGAGGATCAGAGCCGCTCCGGCTTCGGCACTCTCTGTACAGTTTGGCCTTGCGAGTTGCCATCTCATCATCAGTCACTTCTCCACTCTCTCCCTGGGAACAGAAATTTCACCATGGCTCCTGCACTGTATTACTTTTCTTGAATGTTTAGTTCAGGTTGGTTTCTGCCTTCTAATCTATGTCCTTCAGGATTGTCTCACCTGAAAGACCTATGTTAAGGCTGCCCAGGTGATCACAGGTCCTTTAATCCAGTGTGACCTTCACTATGAATCAGTGTCACCTCCCCCCACTCCCCACAGCTAAGGAGGCTGAAAAAAAAGGACACACACTCTGGAATCTCTGGGCATGGACACAGTAAGAAGCAATGAAGTTCTGTGAAACCATCAAGAGCCTTCCATGAGTAAAGAGTAGGACTATTGTAGATAGCTATGAGACAAGTGTATTATGTCATAATTAAAATATACATCGTATACTCAATAAGGCACAGTGCAACACTATTTTAATTTGTTTCATATACAGCCTTCATTGTGGGCCTTCATGTGATCTCTCTGTTTTCTTTCTGGTTGGCATGTCTCACTGTAACCCAGGCTGGCTTTGAGCTTCCTGTAATTCTCCTGCCTCGGCCTCTGACATGCTGGGATTACAGGAGTGAGCCACCATGCTTGCCCTGACCCTTTACTTTTCCAGTCCTCCTTGGCCTGCTGTGGAACTGGTGCTCTAGCCTCTCACATGTACCTTTAGGAAAAAGCAAAGTCTTTTAACCTCTTTTCTCTCGCCTCTGTGGCAGATGCTTTACCTTGTGCTGTGTTTGGAAAGCTCCTACACATACTTCAAGACCCACCATATGTCAGCTGCTCTGAGGTCCTTACTGCCGGCCTTTTGACCACATATTTGTACATTTCTCTACTGATACAGCATTTTGTAGGTAATTTAACAATAACAACTGATGCAGATTTTTAAGGACTTTGGATTCTCCTTGGTGTTTGCTTGATTCCTGACACTGACGCTGGCGCTCAAATGGTACCTGGCAAGCCCTTGTCACCATTGTTTTTTAATTTACCTTGTACCCAACTCAAATGACTTAAGGCGGCTTGTGGAAATGTAAAGCATACAGTAGCGGTTGGAGGCTGGGCAGGATGTTTACTAAACATGTTTACCCTACCCTCATGAGCATCTTCTTCTTTTTCTTGGTGGCGCTTATGCCCAGGGTATTGTTTCTCTGCATGTTTGGCTTCTCAGCATTCTTTGCTGACATCCCAGGGCTGGGGTTTCTAGTGCTCCATCGTCTGCCACCAAACAACTCCACAGCGTGAGCCAAGGTTGGGCCTTCATACCGACCATCCTCCTACAAAGAACCATATGCTGAACACACAAGCAAGGAGCAGCAGGGAATAAACATTAATGGTCCCAGTAAATTCCCAAAGTGGATAAACTCAGGCGTTTACAGAAACATGATCTGGCCACCCATCTGTTTCAGAATCTAGGAACTGCCTGTTGGGGGTCCGAATGTGTCCAAGTAGTCCTGATCACATCCTGGGTCAGCGATGTACTTTAACCAATCAGCTGGGTGAAACAAAACAAAATAAGCTAAAAACCTTCCCATCCTGTTAATTCCTGTTAATTCAGGAACTAGCACTGTGGGAAAATTCATTAAGACTGTAAATTAAGGGCTGGGCGTAGAGTTCAGTTGGTAGAGTGCTTGCCTAGCATGTACTTCAGAAATCTCTGAAAAGTATGATTCTGGGGAAACTGGCTAGCACATATGAGGGTCTGGGTCAACCTTTATGAGTCCCCTCAAATTTATTTCCATTTAATATCTATTTCCTTGTAGCATTTATTTTTTTTGAATCTATCTATCTATCTATCTATCTATCTATCTATCTATCTATCTATC